TAATCATCTGTCCTCTGTGTGGGTGTTGTGTCATCTGCAAAATAACCCACACTGAATGCCTGTCTGAAGCAGATATAAATGGCATACAATAATTGTGTGCATACATACAACTGCACATTAACACCCTTTTCAACATCTCTCTTTAAACATCATCTGCATTCTGCCCAAAAAAAGAAATCACTTAGAAGAACAATTTTAGAACTTAAGGGGAAAAAATAAATTTCTAAAATTAAAGAGAAAGAATTAAAGAAGAAAGAAGGAATTTAAATATTTAGATGCAGGAATTCCTTATTTAGTTAAAACACATTATCCCCAAACAAGGTAGCAGGTTTGCAGAAAACACACAATTTGCTCAGTAAAAAGAGGGCAGTCAAATACCAGACAGGGTCAATAAAGATATTTTGTTGTTTGGCACTTTATATTCTTAAAAGCTGTGCGTGAAAATGCTTTGGGTGGCAGAGGCTCTAGTTTCTGATAAAAATAGCACTTTTTTTGTTGGTAAAAATAGCTGCTTTAGGAAGGCTTGATGGTTCTCTAGAGGCATTTGTCTTTATGAATAATGCACTGGATTGCTGGATTTTTTTTAAAAAAAATGTGCCCGGGGGAGGATCATTGAATTGTCATGAATCTTGAAATCCCATCAACCCGGCTCTGCATTGCAAATCCCTTCTCTTGATTCCTTCCATTCAAATGGACTCTACTTCTCCCTCAAACTGGAGCAGATTTCAAATTTGGAATTTTATGCTGCTGCATGGTTACAAGGGATAGCATTTCAAAGGGCCGCCCTACAGCTGATCAGCGGTAAAAGGCAGTGTGGTGGTAGACCAGTGTGCTCCAAAAACAAATGGGTAGACCGGAATGCTCCAAAAACAAATGGGTAGACGGGTATGCTCCAAGAATAAATGGGTAGACTGGTATGGCTCTGCAAGCAGTTAAAAGCCTGGTAGTCCAGTACCTCTGCTAAATCCTAAAGAATTGTTTGTCACATGACCATCAAACCACACCCACAAAATAAGCCACGCCCATAGAACCGGTAGTAAAAAAATTTTAGAACCCACCTCTGACCTTGACCATTTTATTTTTTTCTACTGTGGTGGAATGTAGTCTGGATTCCCAGGAAAGGGGCGGCTCCATTTTGTAGAGGGTAAAGAGGGGGTAGAGCTTTGAAATTTGGATAGCAGAAAGAGAGTTAAAATGGCTCCTCCTTAGCTTTTTCCAAAGTATATCTGTAGCTATGCAGAAAGTTACTTTAGTAGGCAAAACTAAACCTTGTTATTAGCCTCCTGCTTATTCATTTGTATCCCCACCTATATTATTTTTACAAATAAGTCAAAGTGGCAAACATATCTACTGGACCGCCTTCTGCCACCAATAGCCTCCCACCGACCAGTTCGTTCCCACCGAGAGGAACTCCTCAGGGTGCCGTCGGCCAAATTATGCCGGCTGGCGACACCCAGGAGGAGAGCCTTCTCAGTGGGAGCTCCTGCCCTTTGGAATGAACTGCCCCCGGAAATACGTACAATCTCTGACCTCTGGGTTTTTCGCTGTGCCCTCAAGACCCTACTGTTCCGACAGGCGGGGCTGTCTATTTAAGTGGTTTTTAAATTGGAGTTTTAAGTTGGGGTTTTAAATTTTGGCCGAAACTGTTTAATTACTTTTAATGATGATGTCTGTATATTTATGTTTTTAAATTGGCTGTACACCGCCCCAAGTCCTTCGGGAGAAGGGCAGTATATAAATAAAATTAACATTCACATTAACATTAACATTCAACACATCTCTTTCCTCTTATTTTCTCCACAACAACAACAACAACCCTGTGAGGTGGGTTGAACTGAGAGAAAATGACTGGCCCAAAGCCACCCAGTTGGCTTTCATGGCTAATGCGGGACTTGAACTCACAGTCTCCCACTTTCTTGCCTGGTGACTTAACCACTAGACCATACTGTCAGAGTTTCGTGCAAAAATCAAATCCAGAAGCACACACAGATAACTGATTCAGCTGGATTCATTAACTTTTCTTTACATATATAATAACAGATGAAGTAAATTTTACAATACCAATAGCAGAGTTCTTTCAACGTGGTCGAAGTTACAGAGATAAGTTACACAAAACACACAGGTAGCAGTACAGCAGAGATGCAAGTCCAGACTGGTTTCAGTTTCATTTCTCAGCATAGCACAGCACAGAGCTGAGCCACGCCCAGCCTCCAAACTGTTTCAGCTCCCATTGGCTAATTTAGTTGCTATGCCTATTCATTGGCTAATCTTGTTACCATGTCTCTGCTAGTTCATGAATAATCTGACACATACTAGCCTCCTGTTTGCTTTCCTTCAGAATTGGGTTTGTTCATATTCCAGTGGAAATGTTCAGTTATAAGGTATATTTATTTTATTCAATTTATATGGTTGTCCATCTCATGTGAGTGAGTCTAAGGTTCCCATTCTGGCAATCCTGCATGTTTAAAGTTGACTTAGACTGTAATTCGCCTTTCTCCCTCACAAACAAACAGATCTATGTCTACTCCGTGGTCTGGACAGATAGAGTAGAAAAGTTACAATTTTCTCAGCCAAAATGATCATAGTCATTTTTTTTCCTTCCAGTTTCTGCTTCGGGTGGTTTTAGATGCAAGGCTAATTGCCTCTAACCATCTTGCGGTGATAACAATTCTACTGAGGCACTCTTTAAAAGATGCAACCTGAAAGACACTCACTTGTAATTATAAAGTGGATAATTGTGTGCTGCTTCTTTCTGAATTTCAGTAATTGCAAGTACCCAGGCTTAGCTACTTTTTATGCTGCTGCATGGTTACAAGGGATAGCAGTGGGACCAAATTTTAGAAAAATCATGGAGATCTTATTCTCATAAGCTCTTCAGCAGAGTTAATAACTCAAAACATGCTTTTCTCTTCGTTTGGTTCCCCCAGACAGTACAACAGTAAAAACGGTACAGGTGAAGAGTTGATAAATATTGTATAGTTCATGAGGGACAGAAGCTACTTCAACATCAGTTCTTTCCGTTCCCACATCTATTTTTTTTTTTTTTGAATGGGTAAAGGTAAAGGTTCCATTCACACATATGTGCTAGTCGTTCCCGGCTCTAGGGGGCGGTGCTAATCTCTGTTTCAAAGCCGTAGGGCCAGCGCTGTCCGAAGACGTCTCCGTGGTCATGTGGCTGGCATGACTAAATGCCAAAGGTGCACGGAACGCTGTTACCTTCCTACCAAAAGTGGTCCCTATTTTTCTACTTGCATTTTTTACGTGCTTTTGAATTGCTAGGTTGGCAGAAGCTGGGACAAGTAAAGGGAGCTCACCCCATTACGTGGCACTAGGGATTCGAACCGCTGAACTGCCAACGTTTCGATCGACAAGCTCAGAGTCTTAGCCACTGAGCCACCATGTTTGAATGGGTAGGGATTATGTCCCATGTTTGAATGGGTAGGGATTATTTAATTTAACAGGTTGGATTAAACCCTCATCCATCAATGCCATATAGGTAGTATTTGACTTACAATGCATCCATTTAGTGACTGTTTGAATTTATAACAGCACTGGAAAAAAATTGATTTAAGAGCATTTTTTTTTCACACTTAAAATCATTGCAGCATCCCCGTGGTCAAACTTTTGACACTTGGTAACAAACTTTGGACATTTATGATGATTGCAGTGTCCCGGGATCATGGGATCACCTTTTGCAATCTTCTGATGAACAAAGTCAATGTGGAAGCCAGATTCACTTAACAACCATGTTACTAATTTAACCGTTGTTGTGATTCACTTAACAACTGTGAAAAGAAATATCGTAAAATGAGGCAAAACTCTCTTAGCCACAGAAATGCTGGGCTCAATTTTGGTCATAAATCAAGGACTACCTGTACACTAGAAATGCTTGATACAAGATTGAATTATTTGACTATCACGACTGAATCTGTATGGCAGCAGTAGATTTTCATTGTCTATTCTCTTGAATTGTTTTAGCAGAAGTTGTCAGGGATTAAGGCTCATGCTTCCTGCCATCAAGACATGAGCTTTGCCACTAAATTATAGATTTTCTTCTTGACTGTTTCCCTGATCTAATCTACTCCCTTGCTTACTGCTAAAATGCCAGATTGTATTAATCTTTGGCCCAAGCTACAAAATCAATTATTTTCTTATTTTCTTGCTTTATCTTGAGCTGGCTCAAGAGAGAGACTGACTTTTGTACTCCATGGTGGGATTGAAGGACCTTAGAATGGGGAAGACAGAACTGGTGGCAACTAGATTTTTTAAATTTTATCCTCAAAACTACTGAAAAGGGGGAGACAAAGGTTGCCGGACAGCTTTGGAAGGGGACTCTAAAGTTATAACAATACCCCATCTCGTTCCATCTATTTATTACTCACCTTCTATTATTCTGTCTATATTTGCTATTGTTAGTGTAAAGTACATGGGATTTAATTTTGAGCTAACTTTGTAATAATGATATTGCTCAAACTGCTTAAGAATAAGATCTTTATATTTGCTATTTTTAGGGGTATATCTAACACTCTCTCTCTCTCTCTCTCTCTCTCTCTCTCTCTCTCTCTCTCTCTCTCTCTCTCTCTCTCTCTCTCTCTCTCTGTGTGTGTGTGTGTGTGTGTGTGTGCTTGAATACACTAAGAGCAAAGTAGCTAGCAATATGTTATACTACTTCTGATCTTGACTTGCAAGTTTTAGTGTTAGTTCAGGATGGAGAGTGGGCCAAGGTTTTGCTGATACTGGCAGCAAGATATGTTTGTTAGAATAAAATGAGCAATGTTGAAAAGTGTCTCTCTAGGATCTCAATGTTCTGATTTAAGAGCTTTAAGGTGGCATCTTGTGTGATTTGTGTCCTACATTTTTACAGCTTGCCATCCTATCCCATTTCACCTTGCAGATACCTCTGCAGAAATTCCAACAAGGCCATTAAAGTCTTTTTTTAAAAAAAACAAAAAACCAAAGAAACCAAAGACTAAAGCTCCTTGTTATTTCTTCACTTGTAGGTCTCCTGTTTCTTCAGAAGATCAAGGTAAGATTCAATTTCATAAATTCTTCCACTGAATTTAAAATTGATTTTGATGAGAAAGGGACAGTAAAGTTGTACCTGAAAATGAATTTGAAGTACAGAAATAAGTAAAATTTGATATAGACACAGAGATAGCTCCTCTGTCATTTCATTAAATACACACGGGATAGTCTATCCGGTTTTGGACTTCTGTTCTATCATAAATCTAGTTCAATAACCTTGCTTTTTTGCTTCAGTAACATTGTTTGGAATAAAACTTCTGTTATTCATGACTGTTAACCTTAGAGTACTATAGACTCTATAGAGAAAAACGAGATGATAATAATGATTGTAATCATTTACACAGCGTTTTACAAGGTTCATCCCAGAGGTGGTATTCAGCAGGTTCTGACCAGTTCTGGAGAAGCGGTAGCAGAAATTTTGAGTAGTTCAGAGAACCAGTAAATACCGCCTCTGACTGGCCCCGCCCCCATCTATTTTCTGCCTTCCCAGTCCCAGCTGATCGGGAGGAAATGGGGATTTTGCAGTAATCTTCCCCTGCCACACCCACCAAGCCACGCCCACCAAGCCATGCTATGCCATGCCATGCCCACCAAGCCACGCCCACAGAACTATAAAACTGTAAATTAGTAAAATAATTTGAATCCCACCACTGGTTTATCCCCACTCTCAGTCATCCCTACGATGCTTCACAAGTTAGTGGTTGAACGAACAGGATGGTTAAAAGATCAGGATACTGGGACTCACCTAAAGCTATCTTAACAGTTCCTGGAATTGCAAGATTCCTGGCTTTTCAAATACGATTTTACAATGTTGAGAGAGCACACACTGTTCCCTTCTATTTTTCTACTGCTGAGTGATACATTTATTTCATTAGATCCTTGCCAAAACCTTGCCTTCCATGCTTCAGAGGAAACATTACATTGAATACATTGAGTCTGTCTCAGATACACATATCAAGCAGCTTGTCCATGGACATTGATTTATTGGTTGGTATTACGAGATTTCCTTACCTTATGTTATTGCTCCCTCATTTGATCTATTAATTGAGTGTCAGATGACAGATAAAGTACTTCCTTGGGCAGCTTCTTGGTTTTAATCCACAATAGCTGTCCCCACGATCTATTTCCCTCTTCTCCTTTCACTATTTTCTTCCTCTGCACAAATTGCTCTCGTGTTCCATTTGGTGCCACTGTGCCCACAAGACCTGCGCTACAGCTTGATCAATATCTCGAACCACTCCAGAACTATAAAAGCAATTTATGAGCTTACTTTGAAAGGAAGAATCAAAGCCATAGCCACGTATCATACCAAGGACATTGAAAGCTTCTGTTTAATGACAGTGAAATGGCTGGTTGAGGAAACTCACTACAGTACCATAGAGAAGTGCACTTAAAAGGCAAGAGCAAGAGTTTGAGATTTCTCTTTCTGAAGTCAGAATATTTAGTACCGATGCTTTAAAAACTGCAGTTTTCAGGAGAGTAATTTATATCAGCATAGCCTTCCTTGCCTTCAAGGTGTTCTGTGAGTTACTTGTTGACGTTCACAAGAGGATACCTTACCTACACCAGACCAATATCCTCTTTTCCTATTACTTTAAGGGTCCCACTCCAGCAAAGCTTCAAATATATTCTGTTATATTAATATTCCTCTGCTATCTGTCTGATATATTTTCAGCTGTTTAAAAGAAAGTGATTTCCACCTCCCCAAGCATGAGTCTGACAGATAATTTCTCTTTAGCAAGATTTGCAGAGACAAAAGTGTACGGGTTACAAAACCTACCAGCAATTGAATTTTTGCCATTTAGAACCAATATGTACAGTTCCTTTCCTGACAGCCTTCCTATGATCTAGCAAGGATCTAGGTCTTTTCATTGATAATGGAGAAGCATCAGGGGTGAAAACCAGCAGGTTCTGACAGGTTCTGGAGAACTGGTAGTGGAAATTTTGAGCAGTTCGGAGAACCGGTAGTGGAAATTTTGAGTAGTTCAGAGAAACGGCAAATACCACCTCTGGCTGGCCCCAGAATGGGGTGGGAATGGGGATTTTGCAATATCCTTCCCCTGGAGTGGGGTGGGAATGGAGATTTTGCAGTATCCTTCCCCTGCCATGCCCACCAAGCCACAACACACCCACCAAGCCATGCCCACAGAACCAGTAGTAAAAAAATTTGGATTCCACCATTGAGAAACATGTAGTTGGCTGTTTACATCTCTCTCCTGAATCTTCATCAGTCTATGCACCGATTGTTGTACTGTCCTCCCAACCCTAACTATGCATATAGCTGAGCTTTGGAGATGATTCACCTTACTTCCTATTCATATTTTCATATTCATAACTTCCCGCACTTAGAAATTATACTGTGTAGTATGAACAAATCAGATAGCAGATTATAACTCCACACCTTAAACTGTTCTACTTAAAAGTGAATTATGCTCCATTACTGTATGTGTTTAAGCAGTTTGAAGGAGTTATTTAATCAAATTTGGTTTTATTGAATAACATTCTTTGTTTTATGTAGTACATGAATTATTGAATATGCTGGATTGAAGTTGGCTTCTAATTACTGTCATTTTTTTTAAAAAAATTGTATTAATTATATCTTTTATAATCTGCTCTTTTAGATATGTATTTATTTTATTGTCACTTTTTGTTTTGGAAGACTTCTTGAAGAGTGTTTGAGTAAAAAAGATAGACAATCTTTTTAGAAGAATTAAACCCAAGGCATGGGATTTAACATTAAGCTATCACTGAGCTATTGTCTCTTTATAGTTTTTACCTGACCATGTTAATCCTCTTGTCCTCTTTTAAAGTAATTATCTCAAGAAGCACTATCTCTGCATGTTTTTTTATCATAACGTTTTATGAACATTTGTAAAAAATTTAGTGGAATTGGTTCCTGTGATTAGTAAGATAAATAGTTTCAACCATTTACTGTTATAATTTTACAGCTTATACCATATTCTTTAATGATCCCCTTTTCTGAAGTCTATAACCAGCAAATGTTACTTTCTTATATCAAGCCATGGCAGTAACTTGTTTAGCACTGTATAATCTGCAATGCAGGTCTTTCTTTCTGCAGTTAATTCAAATCAACACTTAGTCCTTCCTAGGATGGACTTTCCTTTGCAGTCAGAAGGTATAGCTGACTTGTACTCAGGTTGTAGCTTTCCATTGTCAAAGCCAGTGACAAAAGGTGGAAGATAAAATTCCTGCATTGATTGCAATTCCTATGGGGTCTTTGCTGACAAAAAACAACAACAGGGCAAACACTATATGATTTGCAACTACTTGTGATATTCTGAGCAGTGACTGAGGGGTTGCAAAGCCTGAGCTAGCAGGAACATCTCAACAGGAAAGACCACACTATATTGCTTCAGGCTCTGTAGTTTGGGGAGGAATGGGTCAGGGTCACAAATATCACTACAAATACTTTAAAAAAATGGTTGTTCTCCCTGAAATATGAGCCTCAGTTACTTTCTCATTTTATGCCTCCATGTTTTGGTTGAAAATTCTAAGGCAGGGTTCTGCAACCTTAAATACCCAAAGAGCCATTTGGACCCGTTTCCCACAGAAAAGAAAACACCGGGAGCCACAAAACTTGGGTGGACATGGCCAACTCAATGTCACTCACTTCCACCAGTCACATGACCCCCTAGCCATGCCTACCCAGCCAGTCATTAGGGCAGAGAACCAGTTTTTAAAAAACACCGGGAACCACAAAATCCTTTTTACATCTCTCTCTCTCTCTCTCTCTCTCTCCCCCTCTCTGTTTCTCACTGTCTCTCTCTGGCCACTTCTCCATCCCCCGCCATCACCCTTACCTTCTCAGGCCAGACGAGGAGTGACTGGGAGGGGAGGGCGAAGGGCGGGGCCAGCCTGTGGTGGGATCACCTGATAGGGAGCCACAGCAGAGGGCCCAAAGAGCCGCATGAGGCTCTGGAGCCACAAGTTGCTGACCCCTGTTCTAAGAATATGTTAATATATAGTATGCATAGAATCTACTTTGGGTAAATGTTGAAGGGAAGTCCTACCTTAGCACTTGGCCACCATAGGTACCCCGGACATGAGTGATGTCGAGCTGGCTATGCCTACTCTGACCATGCCCCCCCACTGAAGATCAAACACAACCCTGATTCGGCCCTCAATGAAATCGAGTTTGACACCCCTAGCTTAGAGATTGCATCCCTTGCAAAATCTCACAAAAGTAGGAAATAAATAGCAAAAGCTACTTTTCTATCTCAGTTTTGAATGCTGCTTATAGATGGTTTCATTAACTGCCTCATCTACTGAACCTCTGGAAATTCAAATATCTGCTGATTTCATAAAACTAGAATTTGGTTTATTTTAAGTTGCTGAATAAACATAACATGTCAGGGTTGACAAATTACGCTAAGATATAGCCAAGAAAATACTTTAGGGCTTATATGTGTGAATCTAACTGGTTTACTGTAGAGTGCCTTCAAAATTAAGCTACATTTAATTTGGGAATCCATTTATGCTTAGTGCTAAGTCACTTTGTGCTAGAGTTTTGTTCTTAAAAAGCTCTCTATATGCTTGGATTCTCATCCTCAGTAACACATCTTAATTTCCACTTAGATTGCATAGATACTTTATATAACATTTATTCAAAATAAAATAAATGCCAATATTGGTGGAATGAATGAGAAGAAATTTCACTGACTTATTGCCTTAAAACTGAAATATCCTTATAATAAAATATCTAAAAGTTCATTACCTTGTGAATTGCTGAAAGAACCAGTTTGATTTTAAGCTGCTTTAAATTTCAAGGTGAACTCCTTTGATTTGCAGTTTCTGGAACAATATATATATTGGAATATTATAGTTTAGATTTCAGATTTTTCTAAATGCTCTCACACAATTCTTGATTAAAATGTATTTTATCTTTTTAAGATAAAATAAATTTAGAAAATATAGAGAAATACACTGGAAATACTATTCAAAGATGCATTTAAATACAATTATGGGCAATTTTTATGACTT